CAGGAACTAAATCAGCCAGTACCTTAATCTTGGACTTTCCAGTGTCCAAAATTGTATGAATGTGAATTCCTACAGTGTAAGTCTGCAGTTTTGTTATGGCAGCATTAAATGACTAAGAGTCTGATGTCTTCATGTAAAGTCCAGAGGAACATTCAAACCTGCATCAGTCACCCAGTTCAAAGATGGTGACAAATTCTGTGCTACTCCTCCTACAAAGTGGTAGATTCAAAATCGTCTCTTCTTGAATTTGGATAGAGTCTAGTAAATTGTTTCATCAAAAGAAAATAGTGGGAGTGATTGAACTGGGGACTAAGTCTTTCACCTTTCATCCAGGTCTCTTGAAACACCTGCTCTTGAAGCCTGGCTGTCATGATGTGAGGAATGTCAATCAGCCCAAGGGAAATCCTGCAGGCGGTAGAACCAGGATTCTCTTTGCAAATACATCCCCCAGCTTCAGCTGAACTGCATCTTTTAGCAGCACATGGAGCAGAAACTCCATTCCCGCTGAGCTCTACCCAAATTGCAGACTCACAAGAAAAATCAATGAATATTGTGTTTATTCAGCCGTTAAGTTTGGGAGTGCTTTCTTTTTTTTACTGAAGTACATAGCTGGAATACCAAGAAATACTGATAAAAGACCTCTATACATGCTCAAAGTCAATTCTGTGCTACCCCAGGGGCAACTTAGCAGGTACCTGTGCCTAGAATCACTTGTGTGGAGTTGTCTCCGCTCTTCATACCACTCAACATACAGACAAATGAGAAATGAAGTGGGAAGGGCTGAAAGAAGTCTTGCCTGGTTACATGTCAACCTCAAAGTGTCTAAGAATCCATTCATCTTAGAACTTCGTAAGTTATGTGGCCAAATGTAAATATTAGACTCCATTTTGCCGTGGAGGAAACAACTACAAGCAGAGGATGAAGGGAGAAGCCATAGACTTCCATTTTGCCAACACCCCTCCTCCTCCACACATACACATCATCTAGAATATCTTGGGGCTGGAAAAAGAAACAATCTGGTTCTGATTCACTGGTTCACAACCTTGGTTGCACACTGGGATCATTTGGGAGTTTTAAAAACACTGTTGAGTCCCATCTGTAGAGATTGGATTTAATTGGTCTATGACACAGTACCCATTGGTACTGAAAACCCAATCAAAACAAAACAGCATCATGCCGCTCCCTGCTGATTTTACTGCTGTCAGAGTAGACTTATCATCATGATGTCAGCACAACATAGTTTTGGAACAGGTCCTCTAAGTCCTTAAATAAATCCCAGCTAGGATGTGAGACAGTCCAAAGAGGAAGTTCCAACAAGAGAAGACATCCATCTCTGATCATCTTATAAATAACAGTCTTTCTCTACATTAATTCAGATTGATTCATCAAATAGTAAAAAATGTATCCCACTAGTGAGGTGGGTGGGTGATGGCATTAAATAGTGCTGAATCTTAAAATCATCAAGCTATGTCCTTGTCAGATCTCTTGTATTCCGCACAAGGGAGAATTCTCTGTTCAGTGCTCAGTTGTCTTCAGCAACCCCTCAACTCTTTCCACTCACCAAAAGTCAAGTAGATCTTAGTTCCTGTATCAGACAGGTGAGCAAACTGCATCATTTAGGAAAGAGTCAAATCAAACTAGGAAAGAGTCAGACAGTTGGGTCTCAGAGGCACTTGCTCAAGACTCTCTGTCCTCTTTCTCTGTCATTTATTTCAATGAAGAAAAATATGCTGATGGAAAAGGTGCTTGCTATTATGATTAGGAGGTGTCCATTAAAGCCTATTTCCTTCTCTGATCACAGAATAAAGGCAAAGCAAGTCCCAATGTTAGAGGTGGGGGGAGACATGGAGGGTAGGAGCAGAAATCATGAAGAGTAAGAATTGTTAGCTCAGGAGACAGAGAGATTCCTTTATATATATATATAAAGATATATATATATATATATATATCTTTGAAAGTCAGATTTATAGAAAAAAAGAGAGACAGAGAGAAAGATCTTCTACCCACTGGTTCACTCTCTAAGTGGCTACAATGGTCAGAGCTGGGCCATTTCCCATGTAGCTGCAGGGTCCCGTAGCTTTGGGCCATTCTCTACTGCTTTCCCAGGCTATAAGCAGGAAGCTGGATGGAAGTGGAGCAGCTAAGACATGAACCGGTGCCCATATGGGATCTCAGCACATGTAAGGCAGGATTTTTACCCACTGAGCCATCACACTGGTGCCCAGGAGATGAGTTTCAAAGGTTATTTTGGGGAAGGATTTTGTTTCAAAAAAGAACTTCCAAGGTAGCTGCCTGTGTCAGGAAATAGCGAGGGTGGTGGTCCAACTTCATCAGTTTCATTATTTACTTCAGAGATCACCTTCCTTCTGAGGGTTGGCTTTCCCCAAATGTGTACAAATTCTCACCTGCATCTTCACAGTGGGAACAGACATCTCTTATGCGCCAAGGTAGAGAGGTCTCCTAACGTGCTTCCAATCCTGGAATCCCAATGTCTTCAGGCTGTTGGGTGAGGCAAGCTGGCCTCCTCTTGAGGACACTCCAGAGTCTCCCCTACTCCCTCCAAGAATAAGGCTTTGAACTTCAGGATGGTGAGAAAAACAAAACTCAAGCAGACAAGGAAATTGAATGTGAATCCAGGTCAAATCTTGGAGGAAAGACTCCAACCTTTGTCAACAGCAGGTGTCCTAAGCCCTCCCATTGAGTTGAAAGTCTGGCTACTTGAGGTTCAGCCATTAGATTTTGAAGTCAGGCCCAACGGAGCACCTGAGGTGCTTGTCAAAAGGGCTGCCATCCCAACCCTCCTCTAAGAGAGATGTGATGGCCTACACCCAACAGGCTATGGGTGTAGGTTCAGGGGGCACCAGAAGTCCTTTCCCATTGGGTGTTTCTGAGGAGGAAGGAGGACAGCTGAAGATTCCAAAGCATGAAATAATAGATGTGTAGACAGTTTCAGAAGCACACTCTTTTAATAGTTGAATAAAAGAAGCTTAAAATAACAGAGTGCTCTAGCAGTAGAGCTTGATGGTGAAAGAATCAGTCTTACTCGGTGCCCGACTTCTTGGCAGCTAGGTGACTGACTGACTTCCTTAAAGTGTCTGTCTCCTCATTCATGAGATAGGCATATTAGTATATATGCTAAGGCTTCCTTCCCTGGACTACTACAACACATAAATAAGAGTTAGCAGATTTTAAAGGACATAGTGGGGCAGATGGAGCATCTGTCTCGCCTATCCCAGGTTCATATGCTGAAAACTAATCCCCATTGTGATGAGATTTGGTACAGGGAGTGGGGGGGCACTTTGGGAGAGAAGGAGGGTGGAGTCCTCATGAATGGGATTAGCACCCTTATAATAAGGGGACCCCAGAAAGCCAGCTTCCTCCTCCTCCAAGGGAAGAGACAATGATAAGCAGGCCTCCTCCCAACTCAGAAGCAAGCCTTCAGCAGATGCCAAGTCTGCCAGCACCTTGTCCTTGAAATGCCAGCCAGAAGGGAACAAAACAGCTGAGAAATCAAGCGTCATCGTTCCTATGCAGCTCCTGTTGTAGCTGTCCAGACAGACCAAGCCACAGGGTGTTGAATCTTGAAGATAACAAGCATCCAGAAGGCCTCACTGAGACATCATGCAGACCAGCCAGCTAGCCCAAGGCCCAGCTGGGGATGCCTGGCAGAGAAGGAATAGATAAAGAACAGAGACACTGGGTGTGGTGCAGCGTCCTTGCTGAGTTCTTCTCCTTAAGTCTCAGCTCCAGGAGGGAGTAGAAGGGTACAGATCCTACAGAGTGGCCACAGGCTAGCACCTCCCATTTCCGCACAGCCCCGGGGCCAGCTGTCATGAGCCCCTGGAAGACTCAGCAGAAGAGAGAGAGGCGGCACCCTCCCTCCCCTTGCTCCTGTCTTTAATCAAAATCGTACTCAAAATATGATTCTGGGAGATTATATTGGGAGCTTTGGCGGGAGACTCTGATGGGGGTGGGGTGGGGGGAGAGATACAGGAACAGATTGCCAGTGGGGCTTGGGGCTGGGATAATTGCAGGCTCAGACATGCCATTCTCAGGCCTTTTGCTTAGACCCTGGGAGCTTCCCATCAGCTAGCGCTCCCAAAAGGACATTGAGCACCTGGGTGAAGATTTTACACCTGGAAGTCTAACAGGGGAAGGTGTTTGTCCAAGCCGCCTCACCAGGTGGCAATGCATGTGCAAAACTGAAACAAGTCACTCAGGACTCCAGACCTCTGGCACAGCCAGAGACGGAGGTTTCCACCTCCAGCTGGGGAAAGGTGCAGCGAGGCTAGAGATGCAGAAATCAACTCCTGGCACTTAGGTGGTAATGCAGGCCACTAAGGCAGGCCTGCTGTGCCAGGGCTCACTGCTCCCACACAAGGCAGTGCTTGGAGGCAGTGTGCAGGCAGGATTCCTTGTCCCCAGCCTGGCCTGGCTTTCCCGGGTCCCTTCTCCACCAAACGACCAGTAGGAGCCTCACTTCTGAACTGGAGACACCTGGAAGGAAGCTTCCGCAGTAGTCTCTGTGGTCTCCAATCTCAGGAGGGTTCTACCTGGTCCCCCAGGAGGGGGTGGGGTCGAGAGCGCCTTGAAAGAAACCTCTGGTTAATGCGCTTTATTACAAGCGTTAATCCCGCAAAGCCGACTGGAAATAATGTTTATCTTTTCGCAGTTTAATTTTCCGGACCCTAAGCCGCGGGTCAGCAAGGGCGACTGGAGTGTCCCCGGGGAGGCTGGGGGGTGGGAGCAGCTGTCACTTAGGAGCGTCTGGAGAAAGAGGCTGGGAAGGGTCCCCCAGACGAGGCCAAGATCGCCCAGCGCTAGAAAGGGGCGTAGGTCCTTGAGAGCTGGGACCGCCTCCACCGACCTGAGCTACCTCTACCCTCCCATCGCGCCTCAGTTTCTTCATCTGAAGGCTCGCTTTGCTTTTGTAACTCGGATCTCCAAAGTCTCCTCCGTTTTCCGAAGGAGATCCTGCAGGGGGCTCCTGGCCAGTGTTTCTAACCTTCCGCGACGCCCCCGAAGTCGGGAAATCTGTCTAGGACGCAGACCCTTCTCGCTCCGATCTTCCCGCAGTGGGGCTTGCGGGGCCCTGCGCAGCAGGCTCGCTGCAGCAGGCGCACGCCAGGGCTGCCTTCCCCTGGCCCCGCCGACCCCAGCCGCGACTCCGCACAGCCCCGGGCCGCACTGTCCGACCGCCTCGTGGCCGGGAGATGCGCGCAGGACCCTTGCTGAAGCCGCGCTGGGTCCGGAAACGCTAAGTCGGGCAGCCTCCAACCTGCCGGGACCCCGGGGCCCCCGACGTCGCCCACCGGCGGGGCCAAAGCGCCCTTCTCTTCCCATTAGTTGGCGGTGCCGGAAGTGTTTGCTGGCTCTGCTGATTAAATGGAAAGAACCCCCCCGCGCTCTGCGAGAATCGGGAAGAGCAGGGGATCCCCTGGCCAAGGGGTCGCCAGGTTGTCACTATTGCCCCACCTTCCAGTAAGTTTAACAATCCAAGCAGGAACTCGGCAACAAACATCCCTTCATTTCCCTTCAACCTCCCTCGTGCTCCGGCCCGCGGGGGCGTCAGACTGGCCCGCACAAAGAGCGCGTTGGGTCAAGGGCGCCGCGTCCTGGTCAAGGGCGCCGCGTCCCAGTTTCTCTCCTGCCTTTCAAAGAGGATGGAGTCTGCAACCTACGACGCCCGGTTCGCAGAGCCCCTGGCCACATTCCACCCTCTCCTCCACCTCCACTTCTGTCTGCGTCCCCGGCACAAACAGGCTGCACGGCTTGGGTTCGGTTTGATTATTTTTAAGGACACACAGGGATGGGAATGGGAGAAGACCCCCGCGGTCCGTCCTTGAATTACAAAGTGAGGGGTGGGGTGAGGGGGTTGGGTGAGCAGCAGAGGGACCGGCTTCGGGCTTCGAATCTGGAGCTGGAAGACTTGGTGGGTGAGTTGGCTCCAGGCTCGCTGGCGCAGCCTCCCTCGAGGCCTTCTCCCCTGGGATCCAGCCGCCTTCTCAGCAGGATCCGATAAGGAACTCGGGCTCTTCGGGCAAGGACAGCCGCTCCCAAGGTTTCTGACTATTTCTTAGGCCAAGTGAGAGCTCCTGGTCACCCCCGGGCCAGGTCTGGCAGCTTCTTAGCGTGCGGGTGAATTCAAAACGTGGGACTCATTTTTCAAGATGCTTCAGCAAATCGCAGCCGTTGCGCTAACCTGCTGAGAGAGGAAAGGTTGATTAAAACCCAAAGGCCGTTTCCAGGAGATTCCTAGGAAATGGGAGGTCAGCGCCCTCTCCTCCGGAAGGGAACCGAGGTCTAGCGGCGATTTCCTTGCCAGAGGTCAGGTTGAGATCCCCGATAAGTGAATTAAAGTGTGGCTCAACCACACTTCTAAGGGACTGAAACAATTACTGCTGGCTGTTTCTGGCAAGGGGTCGGTGCACTTCCCTTCCTTCAGGCTCTTAGTACCTAGAACATTCCCCCGCTCTGGGGGAGTGGGCACGGCAACAAAACGGAACTCACTGGGAGTAGAGCGCCTCCCCGGGACAGCACTAACTCTAGCGGGCCGAAGCTTGGACTGCAGAGATGACCTCAAACCCCCGACTGCCTGGCTGGCACACTTCCCCAGACTTCTCTGGAAGGCTTGGGTCTGCCTCAGCTTGCAGGTGTGGGTCCCAACACAGCAAGGAACCAGCCAGCCGGGACCCTCGGGTAGAGGAGAGGGAGATGAAGGCGAAGAGACAGAAGCATTTGTGCGAGAGAGGTAATAGAAGAGGCACAGCAGGTGTACTGAGCTGACCACTGGCCACAAATGCAGAGCTCTAAGTTCACTCTAAGTGAACCTAGGGACGTTTTATTGTCTCCCTCTGAGCTGATTACTCTCATTCAGCGGAATGATTTCTGCTCCTTCCTGTGAAGGAGTGCGGTTCGGGCTGCTCTGAACTTGGGTGGGCCGTGCGGTGGGGAAGAAGAGAGGTGGTTTGAATGGCAGGGCAGGAAGCGGGTGCACTCGCTGTGACAGGCGCTCCCAGCGCCGTTGGGGGCCCACTACCTTCCGCGCTGGCTGGGTACGGGCACTGCACTGCAGGCTCCCTCCGCCGCGGGCAGGGCGCACAGTTCAGCGGCAGCCCCTGCAGGGCAAACGCCGGGTTTCCAAAGGCTTTGGCTATGCGGGCAGATTGCTCGCCTATGGAGTCTGTGGGAATCGCGGATTGCCTGGAGGAGCGAGGAGGCTGTCCCGGGATCATGTGACACTCAGGGCTTCGTGGCGCGGGCCGGGGTGCAGGTGCGCCTTCCAGAGCACCGGCAGCTGCAGTGTGAGCCAGAGACCAGATGCGCGGTTTCTCGCCTCGGGGGTAATGCGTGGTCAACGTGGGGCCCCCTGGCTCGGTCGTGACGAAGTGAACTTCTCCCGACCCAGGGGGTTCACTGAAGGAGAAACGAGGCGCCACCAAGCCGCACTGCCTGCGCTGCAAGCGGTCATCCGGCGCAGGCAGCAACTGTACGTCCGTAGGAAACCCCGCCAGCCTGTCGGCTGCTGCAGCCACCGCCTCTTCTTCATCGGCTTCTTCCTCCTCTTCCTCCAGGTCTTCTAGGTCACTCAGCCTCAGCTCTTGGTTCTCCTGGCGGACGGTAAGATCTGCAATAAGCAAAGACCTAGTGAGAAAAGCCCCCAGGCTCCAGGGAGATGCAAGGCAGTGCCCACTCCAAGGAGAAGCCTTCAACAGGACGTGCCAGCACGGGGTGCGTCCTCCTATGACTCACCAGCCCTACCACATCACCCCTCGCCAGCCCCAGGGCTGGGCACTTCCCTCAGCCCTACTCCTTCCCTCCAGAGACGCCCAGGAAACGATACCTGGGCTGGCACATCGCTGTGTCTCACCTCCCCTATAGGGAAAACCAGGTACTTTCCCCTCAAGCTCATTACCCACAGTGATGAACTCACTGTCATTACATTATGCAATTCCACAAGTATTTCAAGAGTAGCCCCTAAGTGTTAGGCATTCCTGGAATCTCTGAGTGGAGGCCACATTCTGGTGGCACTGGCATGACAGGGTATTGAGGTGAATGAAAACTTTCTCACAATAATAAATACGGCAAAGGAAATTTTAAAAGGTGACATGATAGATGATAACTGGGATATGACTCTGGCCGCAGGAGGATGGAAGTTTTTCTGAGATGACAACATTCTGTAGGGAACTGGGGTGGAGGAGAGGATAAGCAAAGGCCCCGGGGCAGACAGAATCTACCACAGAGAGTGCAGACTGCAATGCCCATGGGCTTGTGTAACCCCTAAAGGGGAGAGGAAAATGGGCTGAACCTTTGGTGTCTCTTTTGAAGCAGTCCAGAGACTCCTCGGCTCCGCCCTCTGCCTTCTTCTCCTCCCCTCCTTTGTTCTTGGGCGCCCACGTCATCTTGTTCTCCTTCTTGAGGCGCCGGCGCGCGTTGGCGAACCAGGTGGACACCTGGGTGAGGGTCATCTTGGTGATGATGGCCAGCATGATCTTCTCGCCCTTGGTCGGGTAGGGGTTCTTGCGGTGCTCGTTGAGCCAGGCCTTGAGCGTGCTGGTGGTCTCCCGGGTGGCGTTCTTCCTGCGCCCAGTGCTACTCAATTCGACGGTGCCATAGCTGTGGGGAGAACTGGCTCAGGCTCTAGGCTAGGAGGCACCATCTGCTACCCCAGAGGGCAGCTCTGTACCCTTTCTCTCTCCTGTCCCAGAATCCACCTGCCCTTGGTAGACGGTGTGATGTCAGCCATCTGGGTGTCCCACTCCTTACCGGTCATACTGGTACTGCCCTAGGGTCTGCTCATAAGGATAATAGGCTCCTGGTTGTGCCAGGCCAGGTGTGAAGCTCCCTGCAGCCTCCTTAAATTCATACTGCGGATTCTGGTGAGAGAGGAAAACAAACATCAGCTCCCTAGCTCAAGGGGAAGGCAGGAGAGGCAGGTTGTGAACCATGATAGCTAGGCCACCACTGGCATGAATTGTGCAACATTCTCTGCCTCAGTTTCTCTGTTGGTAAAGTCAAGATAAAAAACAAACCTCACTGGTGGAGAGCTTAGCAGAATCCCTGGTGCAGAATATGCAGGTGTTAAAGCTGCTGTTACCACTGTAATTATGTGGACCTCTGTTACTCAGACACGAGCTGGGGTACTCCACAAGCTCTTCCCTGATGCTGTGTACCTCATGATGGGACCTGTCTGCATCACTCTCCCCACCTGTAAATGGTGCATCCTGCAGGCAAGAGAAGTGTGGGTGCTTTCTAAAGAGTGGAGCTGTGCCAACTGCACATTGTTGTCAAAATCTTTTATTTTGTACTCACTATTCTAACCATTTTCTTCCTTGGAGTTGCACCTGCTCCTAGATTTTGCCTAGAGAGGTCACAGTGGATCTGCCACTGCTGCTGCTGATGCCCTCCAGGGCCACAGGTTCAGACACCCAATCCCAGACCCCATCCCCAGCACTCACCAGTGCTCCATAGAGTGCAGGCGGCTCTGGACCATAGGGGAGGTAGCCAGGGTAGGACTGTGCAGCTGCTGCAGCAGCATAAGGGGTTCCGTAGATGCCCAAGGCAGCACCCAGTTCTGGCCGTGCAGTGCCCAGCAGCCGATTGTCATAGGGTGCACAGCAGAGAGTTGGGGCTGGCGGTGTGGAGCCTGAGGTCCCATCAGACATGGAGTGCGGAGCGGATTCACAGCAAGTGGCACTGGAACTTGCAGACACAAGAAACTACAAGGAAGAGAGAAGGGACACTAGGGGGGTCAGAGGCTGTGCCTGTGGCCAGCAGGTGCCAAACGGAGGAAGGGTGCTACCCATGGCTCCGTCATCCATTCCCCCTTCCACATTAAATGTCACTGTGTTCTGGTCACTCTGCCAGGTGCTGGGACGGGAATCGACGAAGTCTGTTTGTCCCAACTACTCACACAGATCAGAAGGTAGGAAACCGCAATTACAGAAGTCACACCCTACCCCCACCCCTGCCTGCCTCCCAGGCTCCTACAAACTAGCATTGGCCATCAAAAGCACATTGCTATTCCCATCTTATGGATAGGGAATCAAAGATCCTGGTAGTCTCAGACTTGTCCAAGGGCAGCCAGTGGGTCAAAGGTCGAGCCTGCACTTTAATCCGAGGAAATACACCTAACTTCTTTTACAAGAAACTGGAAATAGGTGCACGTCTTCGGAATTGTCCCAGAAAACCTCTGTCCCTGCACAACAACCAGCCTCATTTAGAAAATCTAGGGGCGCGGACCGGGCTCCTACCAAGGGAGGGGTAGAGTTAGAACGGAGGTCAACACCCTAACGCCACCGTCACCACCACAACTCCGCTGCGCTCAGGCCCAAGCATCCATTCATCGGAGCCTTTCCCGCCGCCTAGTACAGCTGCCCCGGCCTGACAGGAAGCACCCGGAGATCCCACCCACTGTGCTGAGCGCGTAGGCAGTGCCCTGCCTGGGATCACAAGATTTTCAAGCGTGCACGTCCTCTGTCGGGGATGAGGCACCTTACCCTGATCTTTGCCCTCTCTGACTTCCTCGCGGGAACGAGATGAGGCGACTCCGGGCCATCCGCGCGCTGCGCACCCCCGCCACTCGGCCTGTCCCCGACCCCACGGAGGCACTTCTTACCTGGGAAGCGCCACTGTATGGGTGTCCGAAGTGCGGGAAGGACATGATGGCTGTCCCTGTGCTGCCTTTTTCTTCCCTGTCAAGTTCGCGCCTCAGCCCTTAGGTTCGGCAATCCTAGTCGTGCGGAGCTTTGGTTCCTTACTTGGCTGCGGATGCCCAGCGCCGGTTCCTTCTCCCGCTTGACCCGACTGGAGGCAGAGCCGAGGCTAGTCCGGGTGCCAAGCCCTGGACTTCGGAAGTCGCCCCGTCGGCCCGGGGGGTCCAGAAGATAGAAGGGCCCATGGATGGGCAGGGGAAGGAAGAAGGTTGCGGGTTCCCAAAGGCGCGCGGTGGCGAGGTGAGGAGCGCGACGCAGGGCTGTGAGGCTCCTGAGGTATCCCAGCGCAAGGTGGCCAGAGGCTCAGTGTGACGTCACGGTAATCCCGGGCCGCCAGATAGGACCCTGGACCCCGGGCCCCAGGCCACCACGCGTGTCAAGCTCGGTCAGCCCGGGAGCGCGCGCGCGCGCGCTCCTCATCATTCACACTTGGTCCGCGAGGTTTGCGCGGTTGGCGAGGAACGTCAAAGACCCTGACCCTTTCCGCTCCAGCGCTGGATCCTTTTCCTTTTTTGCCTCCAGCTCACACACTCGCACACGCGCACACACACACATACAATCTACCCAAAATACCCGGGAGAAATAGGAGTAACGCCTCCCTCCGCGCCGCGCAGGCCCCCCGGCTCCGCACGCTCACCTCCTCCCTTGCGGCCCCGAGGAGCCAAGAGGCAACCGGGCGGTGAGGGAGAAGAGAATACAAAAGAGGAGACCGGAGAAAAGTGGGGGAGAGGCACGAGGAGGGCAGAGGAGGGGGGATGCTGAGTCTAAGTGCACCGAGGCGCGCGGGGGAGGGGACGAGAGCGAGGGAGGGGGCCTTGTCTGGGCGGAGGCTGAGAGCCGGCAGGTGGAGGAGACCCGAGGCTCCGAGGAGAAGCCTCCATCCACACCGCTCCTCCGCCTCTCGCTTGCAGGAAAGTTTGTTGTGCCCCAGGCCCAGGGCTCGTAGGAGTAGCTGCAGGCAGCAGCGGATCTCACTAGCCCGCCCATCTTTGTCCTCCTGGGATACGGCCTCCCGCCTCAGTCCTAGATGCCAGTTTGCCCAGTCTTCTCCTAGGCCAAGTCCTCGACCCCGAGACTGCTCTGCGAACGCCCAGCCCCTCGGCTAGACCAAATAGCGCCCTCTCGAGGCCGAGGCTCAGGGTCCCCTGCCCTGGATACCGCCTGGAAGCGCGCCTGGCTTGACCCGTGACCCTCTTCTGGAGACCGCGGAGTCCACATTCCTGGACCTCGCGAGGCAAGGCGTGGCTACGTCACGCGCGCCGTCCGTGGTGTTGCGGGGAGCTGGGAAGCCTGAGGATAGCGCTCTGGCAGGACTGCAGCCGCTGCGCTCCTCTGGGGGTGGCGCTGGCGTGCCGCAGTGGAAGCTCTGAGAGGGCAGCCTGCCCACTCGCTGTGCACCCTCCTGGACGCCAGGCTGGTTCCAGTGGTCTGACAGCCATCCGGTCCCCATCCCAGAGGCACTCACAGGAGCACTGGTTGATGTGTGGGACCTTGATGGTGCGTCCTTTAGACCTGCTGGGGGCTGGGGTGGGGATGTAGAGGAACCAAGGGGGCCCCACTCTGAAGACTCAGTAGCGAGGCTCCAAGCTACCCATCAGAAGGCCTCCAGTTCTTGGCATCTAGGGGCAAAGTGGGCTTGCCAGTCCGATGAGGCCAGGATCAGGTGCAATCTGCAGGCTGGAAGCTTTGCCGCTTTCCCCTCACAGGATCGCTGGGCTCTGGGCCATCTAAATCGCTCTCCATGGGAGAGGAGGGGGCTTTGAGGACCCTGCTGTGTTTCCCAGTTGAACATCAGGACAACGTGGCCCAGAGGGAAGTAACAGCTCTGGGTTCTTGTCGGGCGATAAGAAAGCCCAGTGACAGGGGCTAGGTCTGTGCCCCTGCCCCGGCCATGCCATCCGGTGGACTTATTTCTAGCATCTTGTAGAGGGGACTGATAGAGCCTGCTGACAGTGACCTCTGTGGAATGACAGCTATGACCCCCCTCACCTATTACCCAAGCCCCATCTTTCACTTCATCTGCCCAGATTCTGCAGAACGCATAGAAAGCCTTTAAGAACCTGCAAACCTAAGGGGTGGCTTCCACCAATACCAGCTCTATGTGAATCCAGATAAACACAGTCTCTTTGGTAGAGTTTTCTCATTGGAGAAAACTTGCCCCTGGGCTTGGGAAACTTGTAGTTGGAAAGAAAGAATTATGATCACGGCTAGATTGACTTAGTGATAAAAATTCACGGTAATAGATCCCCTGGCTTTTCAATAACTGCACTTTGAAGTCATTCACTCATTTCAGCTTGGATACATCCAAGCTAGTTTTCTTCTTCTTTTTTTTATAAGTAAGAATTAGAGAGTGTTCCTTAAATGAGTCTCTTGGGGAAGATTACTACTAATTAATTAATTGCAAGCATTTTTAGAGGGAAGGTATGTCAATTGTAAAGTAATAAAATCAGATAGTTGAAATACTTACTCAGCAACTTGGTTTGTCTATTCATTCCTAAGCAGATATTTTTGTTTTAGTGATAGAAAAATGTGGATGGAGGGGAAGAAAATGCATTAGCCTTTTCCTGGCTGATATGACTGTAAAGGGGGAACTCCCATCTGGGGTTTATTGATTTCTAGCTGATTTATAAGACCTCTGGTATCAATGCTATGTGCAGGGACTCTAGGTTTACCTCTTGTCTTGACTCTCTAGGATCAGAGCAAAGAAATGAGATGTCTGAAAAGCAAGTGGGAGCAACAGTAACAACAAAAAAGCACACAGTGGTGAAAGTAAATTGAGAGACGGGACTCTGATCACGTCTCAGCATTTTTTCCTTCTTTTGTGGAAAAGGAGCAATGAAAGACTCACATTATTTTAAGGACTGTCCATTGTCTTTGAAGGTGTATGACGGTTTCAGGGGAATCCATTGGAAAGTCTTGCAGGAAGGAAGACCTGGCAGCTTGCCAAGTGGGCCCAGGGTTTCCAGCTTAGGAGATGCTGACAGAGCCATTCTTTCCTCCCTGAAGAGTGGCTGCACCCACAGCACAGCTCTTGCAGTGGTCAGCTCCCAGGGCCTGGGGTCTGGCTTCTTACACATGGCTCTTGAGCTATTCCCACCCTTCCTATCTTGGGAGCTCTCTCAGCAAAAGCAAGCCAGTGTGGGTTAAGCCGGTATCAGCCTCTGTCTGGCAGAAGCCTCAGGTGAAAAGAAGGCTGATTCTTAAAAAGTCAGACGCAGGGAAGCTGCTGCGGTGGCGGCAGCATCTGCTTGTGTAGCCTTGAACTCTTCCAGGGCTGCCATTTCCACAGCTCTGTGCTCCTCTGCCACTGTGGCTTTTCATTGCTTTTGTTCAGCACTGATTAATTTCATTTCAGAAAAAAAAACCTCCCAATTGAATAAGTGTACACACAGAATTTTATTAAAGCAAGCAAATAAACCTATCCGATACAGACTTCCCAGTTATGGTTAAAGGAGCCATTTCACCTTTCACTAAAAGAAAAAAAAAAAAGAAGAAGAAAAACTAAACAAAATAAACAAAAACACCAAAAACCAGGAATCTAGAATCTTTGGCTGCACTGTACATCCTGCCTGATACTTCTGCTAGCTGCTCATAAGAATACAGAAGAAGCAAAAATAAACAAAGACCTATCTGGCAGGGAGGTCATGCTAACACATTGTTTATTTGAAGTTCAGTTGCTTCGCTTTAAATGCACTGAAGTTTCTGAATAGGCAGTGCTAAGTGTGTGTGTTTGACCATAAGCTTGAGTGCATATGTCTCCAAGAAAGAAGAAAGAAACAACAACAACAACAAATCCTGCTGTGTTATTTCGGGTTGAAAATGCTTATGCCTTCCTAATGATTGATATAGACAACAGAATTTACAGGAGAGAAAATTGCAGCTTAGCAATGCCCCAGTCAAATTCAGATGTCTCGAGTCACGAAGGGAATGAGTGGATGCAAGGGCGAAGGTGAAATATGCTCAATTATATTTTTAAGTATATGTTTTTTCAGCCACTAGTTTTGAACTAAGAAGGAGGAAATTTCCTCAAATCTATGCATGAATGAACAAGTGCATCTGGACAGATGCATCCATAATTTATACTGATCAGTCACCGCGGGTCTCCCCTAGTAAAGGAGAAATGAACACTAATTGTTTTGACGGAAGTAGTGTGCATGGCATCTGATAGTGAAACACAATGAGTCCCTGACTTGCCTGAATACATATTGTCAACAGCAACTCTGGCATCAGGAGGGGAAAATAAAAAGGCAATAATTCCCAGATGAGAGTGTTGATGGCACTTGTCAGGCCAGTGGCAAATAGAAAGAGAGAATTAACTTCTTCAGGATAAAGTAAGAAATGAGACTGAATCCAGAGAGCTTGGTTTGTCAGCAGCACGCCTTAGTGTAGGGTTAAACTGCATGGCTTGTTGATAATGACAGTGTTCTTTTGTGTTCATGGAGTGCTTTGGAGCTTTCTGAAACATCTCTGTTCCATCTTCTTTAAGGTGCATGCTAAGAGTATTGGAGAAGTGAGAAGCCAGTTCCAGGTTTCATAGCCAAGTAGGTGACCAGGAGAAACCAGAATCCAGATCTTGCTATGTTGTCTCTTTCCCCAAGGCTGTATTTCGTGCACATATAAAAGCCCCACACAGCTAGGAGTCTTTGCTAAGCCCATTTGGACTGTGTAAATTCACACATGGTGTGGTGTGATGATACTGTGTAATTTAGCAGAGACATTATCTAGAAGAATTGTCGCTGTGGGCATAAAGATTCAGAATGTCTATCTGCTACACACTTTTATATCAACCTGTATTAGGAAGGAGATGTTAAGCAATAATTTGGGATTAAAAAATTTGATATAAACTGTGTACTACAATGGCTAACAGCTACCAGAACCAGCTGTGACTTAGTATAAGAGAAACAAAACCAGCAGCCAAAAAGTCAAAACAAAACAAATCAACACACAC